GGCCAACCCTCATTGCTGATGTCGACACTACGTGTAGACTGGAACCCTCACTCCCACCTAGAGTAGGCCCTGATTCCCTTTTTTTTGGGGTTCAGGTTCCCTTAGAAGCCCCTTTTAATCAAAAAGGGCACCCCTTCTATTCCTAGGATACTCTTGGGTCTAGTTCCTGATGTCGCCATTCACAACTTGTTTGCTGCCTGTCCCGCTCAGTTCAGGTCTTCAATCGCTACCAGATGGCTGGACACGCCCTCACCTCAGCTTGTGCGCCAAACTTACTTTGGGTTAGTAGGGAATGGAGGAATGGGGTACAATCTATAACTACTATTACTAGCCCAGCAAGCCTGAACCCTAAACCCGTTTAAAGTTTAGGGCTTAGGCTTCTTACTTTTCAAGGTTTTGGCTTTGGGTCAACTTTGGGTATGAGGGTGTAGGCTTCGAGCTCAAAGAGGGGAAGCCAAACGAGAACAGGGCCCTCTTCTCGAAGCCTTGGCATTTGGGTACCTCTGACGACCTGCTAAAGAGGCCAGGCGACTTGAAGCCTAAACCCTAAAGCCTCAAACCATGCGGAATGGTTTGCCGGATGAGAAGCCTGAAAAACCAAGGCCAACGACTTCTCGTCCTATCATAAGCTTGAAGACAAGCTCCGAGCCCTCGTCTAAATATTCAGGCTTCAATATTACATCGTAACCTCGGTAAGCTTCCGTCGCCATACTTGTAAAATCAGTAAGATTAGGAAAGGAGACACAAGTATGTATGTAGTCATGGTACATGTACAGATAGAGATACAGATACATGTGCATATACATATGCATGTGCATATATATATATATGTATGCACATACGCATACACATATGCATACACATACATATAGATATGCGCATGCACATACCCATACACATGAATACACCATGCACCATACACCGGACACCAGACACCATACACCATACCCACACCCGCCCACGCCCACACCCTCATCGCTAGTATAATGACTTGCTACGTCTAGGGCTGCTACCGTTACTGCTACTTCTATTCCTCCTACTGCTACTGCCCCTCCTCCTCCTCTTCCTGCTTCTGCTTCTAGTCGTGGTGGGAGGCTGGGGTGAGGGGGCGGTGGCGGTCGCTGTCAGGTGTGCTCTGAACCCCAGGCTTCCCAACACCAACAGCTAAAGCCTGAGACTAAAGCTCTCAGTCTTTCGCCTTGAACCCTGACTTGTAAACCCCACACCCGCAGTGTCCCCTCGTCAACAAGCGCTGAATTTCGAGCTTTCGCCATCCCTTGGTCGTGCGTCGGCTTTCGTCCTCTCTAACTGTTCGTTTGGGTGGCATAGTAGTTAATGCCAGCCGGATCCTAGACCAGGGGACAACAAAGACCCGAATCCCACAGGCATGAAACCCCAATTAAAGCTTGCGCCTCTGAACCTTCAACTTGACGGAGAAAGCCCAAACCCAACACCCCAAGCCGAAAATCCGTCCTGTGTAGGGGGTACTCTGCAGGTGTAAAAGCAATGCTTGAACGGGGGCGAGGCTGGTTCGTGTGGCGGTTACATTAGTAATCATATTCCCTCACCTTCCTTGAATAATTACATACAGCGGGTGTAGCAACAAAACCCTATTCTAAAACCCGTTGCGGTGTTGTGTTTGGCGCTTGTATGTAGCCAGTTTGCACCCGATTTTCCTAGGAGTTGTTTGAGCGGTAGGACGCCATGTCGTGGAAGGGGTTGTTCAGGCTGCCACTTCCTCTCGTTCATGCCCCTGAAGAACCTGAGTTGGGGTGGGGTCTGACCCAGTAGTGTCTGGGGTTTGGGGTTTAGAGTAGTTTAAGGCTTACACTTCAAGGGGATTTGTCGGACAGGAGCAAGGCTATTGCCAGGTTCTGTACACAAAGCTGACGGGCACCGCTCAAACGCCTTCAGGACCTACAGCTCTACCACCCCTACGTGATTCTCACATACCTACCTTCTCCTCCATAGCAACAAATGTGCGGAACTTTACGGCACCGCTTCACACAACGACCCGAATTAATGACTAGAACAGGGCTACGGGGTATCTCTTGCTATAGCCGCAATCTGGGGGCTACAAGAGGGATACCATTCCCCAACAAACGGCCTCGCTATATTACATAGTTCACTCACTCAGGATCTGGGTGTGGTTGGGAGTAGCTCGTCACCTTGGGCGCCCCTGACGTCCGCGACCATTGGCAATCTTCCTTTACCAGATGTTACGAACGGTAACCCTTGGGCATTCAAATCCAGACCCATGCCCTCCGGCAACCCTAAACTTAAACTCTAAACCCTCGTTTTAAACTCCCACCCGTCGAGCAGGAGCACTAATGGATACCTTTTAACAGAGGTACCTGTATCAAATCCCTATCTAGAATGCCCCCAAGCTCCACTTGTGGGGGAAAGCGAGCCCGGCTTGATTGTGAATAGGAAGAATTCGTTTGTTCATCCGTCTCCGAAATGGCCTGGATCCAGAAGGTTCGGAGGACCCCAAACTCTAAAGGGTCCAGGTTTCAGGTTTATCCAGTGTTTAGGGCCCCAGGCCTTGGTATATAAGGGTTCGGGGACCTAACCTATGTTGGTTCTTGCGGCCCGTGTATGAGGCTTCAGCCGAGCACTTGGGGAATCTCAGGCGGATGCAACACATTGCTTGATAAGCCATACGAACATACCGCTAGCTTTGGGAGTAGAAAACACCATGTGCACAACCGATCACAACACAAACCTTTATCGATGATCGGCAATGTCGTCGGTGATGTGTCTCCTTTTGTTTGTCTTACCACCTGATAAAACATCCTTCGTCCGTGAGCCACAACACCTCTTACTGCGACGGCGAGTGCTAAGTGCATCCTGTGCTGTATCTACTTGATCACGACATGACTCCTAGTCTGTGCTATGCTGTGCAAGGCGCCGTGCACTGCAATGGCAAAAGCAGGTGCCACAGTTATCCTGCATGACATCTGGATCTTTTTTTCTTGAAATGCATCGCCAGGTGACAGTGGAATAGACCGTCGGGGAGGCATGTTATGTCTATTGTCGCTTTTGAGGGCTCTTTCTCTTTCTGCTGCGCAGGCTTTTGCTCCAGTGGATCGGCTTGACCGTTCAGGGTTCAATTTCCGTTGCAACTCTTGCTGTCTTGGACATTCTCATGACGCTTGCTGTGCAATGCCTACCGCTCGTACTGGGCATGTTTGTTGTCGAACAAGACCATCCCCGAGACAGATGAAGATGGAGAAAAGGAGGCTGCGGAATAGGAGTCTAGGTGCTAGCATGTCTTTTGGGCCACATCTTTCGCGGCTCGGTCATGCCGACCTGTGGGTTTTTGGAATAAATAGAAGCCAAGGTTCGCCTTAAACCTTTAACCGTGACCCCAAAACATAGCCTTAAGTCATCCAGAGTCCAATCGGAAGCCCGTGTTGTGAGGTCCCTGACAGCAGTGACACCATAATGGCCTGGCTCTCAGGATCTTCTTCTTCGGTTTCGGCGGACCTAGGAGTGTTACAGGATGTTTCAGTAGCTGTTGTGGCTTTGCTTTTCGCCTGAAGAGCTCGTGAAGCTCAGGAAATCAGGTCTTGGGGTTGGGGCTCACAGGCTTGGCTCTAGGAGCATCGTTTTGATTGTTGTTTTGACTGCAGTGTAGGTTGTTATTACTGCTACAAGCAGTATACTGCTGTTTCAGCAATTGATATGATTTCCAGTTCAGGGTGTGTTTTTGGTTTAGGGTTGAGGGCTTTTTGGTTTTGCATTTAGGGAGCGGAATCTGCGCAGCATGGTCTGTGAGCCCTCGGCGAGCTTGGCTATCCTCACTGTCTTGTGTCAAGACCAGGATCGTTCTGTGTTCTGCTAACAGTACGGCTTGTGCCGGTGACGCTAGTTGGATCGACTACGAGATGTGGGTCACGACGATGGGTGTCGCTTCCGGTGCAAAGTATGCTCAGGAAAGGTTATCAAGATCCCACACGTTTCCACCCCGACTGTAAGTAGAGTACTGCAGGACTGCGGCTGGGGATGTTTGTCTTTATGGCAAAGCTTTGTTAACACCCTGCTTACTTGATCTTACTAGGTTGCACGATTCTCCGAGAAGGGCCGAAACAACCTGCTAGGTCGTGCCTTCTCCGGGAATGGGAACCTGCACCGCGAGTGCGCAGCATGTGGGAAAAGCCTTGCAGCGCGACAAGTTGTCCTTGACCTGACTATGGGATTTTGGGACTGCAAGCTGGCTGCTTTCCTCAGTCCAATTATGAGGTCATGCCTCACGAGTATATGTCCACATGCGTGTTTTCTTTTTGAGGGCTAATTACGGAGGGACGCCAGTAGAGGGTGCTTCAGGGCAAGCTAGCGACGGTGTGATGCCTGCTGTTGTGGTGGTTATGGTGGGGTGCTTGTCGTCAGATGTGGACGCTGGCGGCAGTTGCGACGGTGGTGGTATGATGCCGGCGATCGAAAAGGTTCATGTGTTGCTAGTCACGTCTGTTGAGGTGTTCCTTCTAAGCCGACCTTAAGGACTCTGAATCCTCGGCCCGGGTTGGGCTTTGCTTTAAGGGTTCCTCAGGAGCGAGTTTCGTTGTGCGCACAGGAGCTATTTGAAATCCTCAGAATGTCAGAATGGCTGAGAAAGCAAGTCTGACCAGCTTGAGATGCGACGAGTGCAAGCCTCGGACCTCAAAACTCAAAGAGTGTACGACAGAAAGCGCTTGGGCTTGGTGATAAACCACGCCCTCCCCTGGACATTGTGGAGCCTTGAATGCTCGACTCGCTCCACAGCTGTGGCTTGCAGACTCCGTCTTGAATGCTTGTCATCGTCTTCTCACCAGATTCGTGAGTTCAACTCGAAGCAGCGATCTTCAACCCAGAGCCCGTCACAGCTCTCCGAGACCCGAGGGTTAGCCCTATGAGCCTTGGCTTTGTAGAGGCCTTGCTGGATAAAGTAACAGCTGCGACAGCGAAAATCAGCAGTAAGTTCAGGTGCCTTGTGTGCCGCCCTTGACCCGGGTGCCGCCATGCCGGCGACGTTGCTTCACTGGATTGCTGGAGTGGGCACGGCCATTTCCATAAAGATCTCGTCATCAATTGCACCTGAGAGATTGAATTTATTGCAGTGTTTTGCGGCAAGTCTTGTCCTTGCGAGCTGTTACTATCACGAGTGCCGGTAGTTTTCATTACGTGATCATTGCTTTTTCTATTGTTGTACCGATGCCTGGATTGTTGCAATTGCTTTGTACAATATCAACACCCTGAACAGCCATGGACAAAACCAACAAGTTTTGCCCTGACTCTCATGCCCCGCAGCTCCAGGATGACGTTGTGTGGCTGGCGCCATTCTTGACAAACAACGTCAGCTACTTCTCCCGGCTGAAGAACATCAGCATCTATGGCATCGTTTGTTGGGTCTCTTGTCCCTGATCGGTCTTGTCTTGCTTCCAAAGAAGTAGTGCGCCTTCCGTCTTAAGCACCCGCCGGCTCGGAAGGGCACATTCCTGTATTGATTCGGTACACATGGACCAGCATCTGCAAAGCAAGCGCTGAGATGCTAGTCGTAGTGGTCCTTCTTGCAGTGGCGGCGTTGGTGTATGTTGTCTGTTCGATCACGCCGAACTCGTTTTACTCAATGTAGTCTTATGGCTTGCCAGCATCCAGATTTGGCAAGCTAGCACACACGACAGGAGTGCGAGCTTGTTGTCTGCCGGGTCGGAAGGTCGGCTAGGTAAGGACGACCAGCAGTAGCAGAAGGCAGAAGCCGCATTTGTGTTGTTAACCATGGGCTTCGGGTGCACCAGGTTCAGACCGCCATTGCCATGTGCATCGCGTATTCGGGCAACAAGCTCGTGGATTCTTGCCCGATGTGCTGTGGAGTTTGCCTTTCTGGGTTTACGGGTCGGGGTGCAGGGTCGTAGTTTTGGTAGGTTTGTTGCCCCCGGACGGGGCTTCGACGTCCTGAGGAGATGGTGACCCGGAACTCCAAAGATGCGTGGTCTTCCGAGAAGATCTTGACTGTGCTGGCCGGCTCCATGCTGGCTCTGTACTCTATCAAGTTGCTCCATGAGTGGGTGACAGAGGCAGAAGAAGACCCTCAGGATATCAAGGAAGATGCTGGGCAAGAGACCCTCGGCCCAAACTTGCGGCATCCAAGCCTTGGATCACGAGCGAAAGCTTCTTTGGGGATTGGGTTTTAGTTTGGGTATTACTAAGCCACGAAGACTGCTACGTCCGGCCCAAAGCTTCAGGAACAAGTACGCGAAAGTCAGCCCTTCGGACCTGGAGGGTGGCGGGGAGCTCACGCCCGGTCGCAACGAGTCCAGGTGCGCACTTTTCGGCATTTCAGGGTGGTGTTTGGGCTAGGTGTTACAGAGTCCCAACACCGCCATCCGCTAGTTTCAAGACTCCTCATGGCTGCACTGACGGTAACAAGCAGAATCGCAAGGGCAGTCATTGCCAGCATGCATTGCCAGCGAGAAAACTGATGATACTTGTAGCAACGTCTGCACAAACACAGACTCTCTTCGTCATCGCCTTTATTGGCTCTCTGGATGACCTTACTCTTTTCGTGCCCATGCTGGTGGGGAAGGGGCCGCTCGGCTGCACCAAAAAGTATGGGCGAGAGTCCCACACCCCAGCTGGGGTTGGGGCATTGCTGGCAGCATCTCCATAATGGGAGGCATGCTTCATCGGAGCATTTGGCGGTTGAGTGCTGTTGTTCCCGTGACCCAACTTTGAAGCTGGACCTAAAGATGCCCTGCTTGATCCGGCCGTTTTATCGAATCCGATAAACCCGTATAAACATCTTCAGACCCTAAACCCTAAGCCCCAAACCCCAGAGGTGGCCTTTGGGCGGCGGTGGCCGCGTTGAACTACTGCTGCTCTCGAGCAAGGTCATCGACGGCTGGCTGAGTGGGGAAGCGTCCTCGTCTCCTTCTTCCTTTCATGTTTGTTTTTCTTGTATGTTTTTGTTTTTTGGGTGGAGAGCCGGGGGAGGCATTGTTCGGCTGTTTCGGTTGTCAAGTTCTAGCCTTCTAGCTGCTCTAGCAATCTAGGGTGGGGGGCTCTTGGCAGTCAGGGGATGTCAGGTAGCATCACTCAACCGTCTTGACTTGCGCAGACGACACGGGTTTGCATAAGCTCTGCATCTTGATTAGACATGGCTCGGACTGACGACGGCAGTTGTGTCAATCCAACCGCGGTGGTGATGATGATGATCTTGATGTTGATGATGATGGTGGATGGTGACGATGAGGATGTTGATGATTGTGGTGGTGGTGATGATGATGAGGTGGTATGATCGTGGTGGTGATGATGATGTTGATGATGGTAGTGAGATGGTGATGGTGATGGTGGCGGTGATGATGATGGACCAAGACGACACGGGCACCGAGGGCGATGATCATTATTCGTTTTTAATGCCATCACGGCCAGCACTTAGATCTCAATTCAAGCTACCCTCCTTGCTCGCAATGTCTCTTGTATGCTCCTTCTTCCTCGTTGGACAACTAGCGACACTAGTGTCGTCAATACTGGTTGTGGCATTCTATTTCTACCACCTCCGTCCTCATCCTCCTTCGCCTCCTCCTCACTCGTCGCTTCCTCCTGCTGATCCTTCTTCCCGTGTCCTCCTGGCCAGTCTCGTCGTGATGGTCGTTGTCGAGGGCGAGAGCCGTCATCGTGACGGGTTGTTCATCCGCGAAGTCTTTTTACTAGCATGCAGATTCCGAAGCAGCCCTAGACTGAAGCCTAAACCTTAAGTCCTAGCCTCTTTAGCTTAAACCCCCGGACGCTGCACCCCACATCCCTCCATCGAAGCACAGCAGATGGCGTGACCAGGAGCGCTGATTCCATGAGAAGACTCGGGTCTGTGCTTCTCCGTGCCTTGACCCAACTTAGGTCTTGGTGTTCAAGGTTTTAGGCTTAGAAGTTTAGGGCTTAGGCATGAAGCTTTGAGCCTGAAGGCTTTAGGGTTTGAGGTCTCGAGTTTCGGGTGATATCAAACGGTCCGGACCAAGGCCTGTCGTGTGAGTCCGACCCATTTGTCCTTAATTGATCGGAAGACTCCCTGGACCTGAACCCCTTGTGGTCTCACGGGCCTCGGAATTTGCTGGGGTGCCTGAAACCCTGAACCCTAAGCTAAGTCCTAGACCCTGAGATAGTTTTATGTACAAACCCATCGGGAGAAGCGAAAAAGCACCGGAAACCACTACAAACCCCAAACAAAACTAAGCAATCCCAAACTCAACTCTAAACTTCCTGCAAACTCGAAATGCAATCGCAAAAATGCAAAACAAACTTTTGTTTTGTGCCGAGGTGCTGGCCACCTGCTCGCGCCTGGGCCTCGGCCTCGCATCCCGGAGATCTGTCATGCTAGCTGGTGGTCCAGGCAACGGGGGCATGGTGTGTGTGCTCTGGATATCACGCCCTATATAAGCTGTAAACCCAGACCCACTGCGCTTGACAACAACATCGAATCCCTGCAAGTGCTGCTCAAGGGTGACACAGTCCGCTCAACGGTACAGGTGGAGCCGAGGGTGTAGGGTTCAGTGCATCCCTTAGGTGTAAGATTTCGTACTGTGGCTTTCGGATTTGGGGGTTGATGTCTTGGTTTCTGAAGCCAAACCAGAAGCTTCAAAGTCTTGGCCGTCGTTCCAGGTGGAAACGACCACGCCGCGTGGCGACATCGGGGAACCGGCAAAGTTGAGGCTGCAGAGGCCTCGTGCTGGTGGTTTTGAGGGGTTTTGGGGTTTAGGTTTGGGGCTGCGGGGTTTAGGGTTTCGGCATTTAGGGTTCGGGGGGAATCGTTTCTCCTAAGGTCCTACGGCCAGTTGTTGTCCACAAGTACTGTGACTTTCTATAGTCATTGCAATTTTTCTGCCCAGCTCAGGGCGAGGCTGGACATTTCAGGACCCACGACCTGAGGTTTTGAAAGTGCACCCGGCAGTCTCGGCCATAAGCTGGACATACTGCAAAGACGTTGAAATGAGAAAGCCTCGCGAAACGCTCAACCGTAAATCTTACATCTAAATTAAGTCCCCAGCCCCATGTCCTCTCGGACGCCGTTATAAGGACGCCTAGAGGTGAGCCACTTTTTGCAGACAAAGCCTTTTCCAACGGCTCACAGGTCCCGACGCTATGTCGCGTCCTTTCGAACCGAGGACGGCTGAGTGCAGACGACCAAATAGGGTTCAGGATTTAGGTTGTCGGCTAAGGGTGGATTCAGGGTTCAGAGTACGATCTCGGGAGGCTGTCAAGATCTGGGGCAATCTTCAGGAGACTAGAGCAGGGACGGCGATAGTAAAAAGGGTTTTGGGTTCCTTGGTTTGCAACAGTCAGGCATGTGAGAGAGTCCTGCTTCAAGAAGTGTCTATGGCTTCTCGTCTTGGATTTGCAGTGCGGCAGTACAACATATCTAACCTCAATCGCGGCACCGTTGGGGCGTCTGATCCTCCGGAGTCCGACATTCACATTCTAGTGACCGTGATGATGTCTTCGGAGATGATGAGAGGCTGGGGCCGAGGTGCCCAAAATTAAATCCTTAAGCCGGACGAAAGGCAAAGCTCACAGCACCAAATCCGAAAGGCCAAAGAGGCCTTCGACTCAGGGATTACAGATCCGATATTTCTTAAGCCCAGACCCTGCAGGGGTACAGAGCCAACTAAACTGAAAGCCATAAACCCCAAGCCCAGACCTTGTGAAGGCAATGGCTGACACTGCCTTGCGTGGCTTTTTCGACCAAGGTCGCCTCGCCGCAAGCTCAGGATGGGATTCTCCTGCTAGGGGTTTCGGGTTCGGGAAGTTGGAGTTGTAAAGTTTCGTGAAGTTAAGGGTTTCAGGGTGAGGGGAAGATTAGTCTGTTCTAGTCTGAGGTTTAGGGTATTTGCTACAGCTGTTTGAGCTCATGGTAGGGTGTGAAAGGTGGTTTGGGTTTACAGCAGGGATCGTGTCCTGCCACCGCCACAGTTCTTTATAGTCGTAAGACAAGGCCACTGCATTGGGCGTTCTGGATGCTTCGGGAAGCGCCATCGGGAAGCACCGGGGCTAGGTTTCCTGCACGAATTCCATTGCGTGTGGAAACCACCGCTGTTTAGGTGCTGCGACCAGAAAGCCTCAAACACCGGAACCCTGATTTTCAGCGAATCGAAGACGGAGCTAGACGTCCAGAATGTCGTCTAGTCGGCGAAAGGGCCCTTTACTTATAGGCACACAGTGATATATTGTGGCCGCCACCGTCTCGCTGTCCACCTCCACACTGACGGCAGCGGCTGGCTCGCTGTCCAGTGTCTCCTCCACCGCCTCACATACCTCTCTTTTGCGAATCCGTTTTCGGAGTCCAGGCAGCAGGACTTGCTGATGTGGTCAGTGCCTCGGAGCTTCCCTGAGCTCTCCTCCTTTCCGAATCGTCGTCCCCGAGCTCGAGCGTTCCAATGACAAAACTGTGTCTGCATCTCTGCCACTGTCTCCGGTCCCCGAGAAGCGCATCAGGCAGCTCTTATGGACGGACGGCGACTTGACCACAGAAGTCTGCTCCTCAGTGCCAGTGATTGCCAGTGTCATCTCGTGAGAGGAGGGGAAGTGCTTCCTCTCGAGCTGAGCCTTGAGCCTCAAAGCTCAAGGCTGGTGCGCCCCCTGCCGATGACATGCTCCTGATGGGGCTGAATGCCACGGAGCGGAAGGCACGGCAAGTTGGGGCAGCTCCTCAGATCCACCGCTCATCGAGCATACCTGCAACTTCCTACATCGCAACAGGCAGTCTTCTTGTGCTGAAAGGTGCTGACTATAGCCCGGAATCTGCGATCAACGAAGATTTGGCGCTTTTTTTGTCAGGTGGTCCACCAGCTGGCGGGCCTCATCGGGCTGTACTCCGAGAGCAGGTGCGGTGCTTCTAGGTTGAAAGGCACGACGTCCTTCCTGGGCACTAGAAGTCGTTGCTTCCTGCTTTGTGTCGCAGCTTCCGCTTCCGCCCTGTCGAATGCAAGTTTTGAAGTTGCATCATCATTGCTTGCACAGCATCGAACGATTGTGCCAGAGCCCGGAGGCTCCTTGACGATGGCCAGGAGGGAGATGACACAAAGCCGGACAAGGCACACACTTCGAGGGTGTGCGCTTCAGAGTCTTGCGAGCATGTGCCTCGTGCCTCTCAGCAGGTGCTGCCCCCCCAGGCATTGGCACTGCGCCCTCCATGGAGCCTGCGCTGCCGTGCAGGACGTCAAGCAGAGACGCTGCCACCCTCCCAGTGCAAAGAGGGAGTAGTGGCGCGCAGAGAGCACTTTCAAAGGGCCAGTGGTCATTGCCAGGATCTTGTGCTGCACCGTTTTCTCTATCTCAAGTACTGAAGTCCTCAGTGATGGGCTCTAGGTGTAGCAAAGGCTGTCGAAGCTCGGAGACTGGATCCTCCAGAGAAAAGGCGGTTTCCGCACAGCTTTAAGTGCCTGTGCAATTGCCAGAACGGCTCTGATCCTTTGCTTACTTGCAGAGTGCAGCAGACTTGCTGTCGAATCGTGAATGTCGCGAACCGGATGCGCTTGTGGATCACTTATCAAGCAAAGAACGAACACGGCAGCATGTCGTAGCCGTTCTGGGTTCACAGGCATGCAGGCACACTTGTTCTCGATAGAGGCCTGCTGCTTTTGAGTCCAGGCCGGTCGACTGTGTCACTGGCAGTCACGTTGTGCCGTCTGCAGGATTTGCAAGAGTTGCATCCGTTCGATGTGTTCCTGCTCCTCAAGCAGTGTGAGCCGTTGATCAAGTTACCGCAGCTGTGCATGCGTTGAGCTCTGACATGCAAGATCTCACACACCGCAACGTGTCTCAGTGTCTTGCGCGAAGCCAGAAGCTCCCAAACACCTATCCCAGCAGATCACCGGCTTCGTGTAGAAATTCCCAAAAAAACACCTGAATATCCTGCTTCGTCGCTCGCCCTTCCACCGGCTGAGACAAGCAAGCCAAAGCCGTGACCAGACGCGACAAACCCAGACCTCATATAAAACCAACCAAGCATCTGTTATTATGCTTGCTGGTGTACTGCTGGTTGCGGCTTGTCCGCTGCGGCTGTCATCAGTCAAAGGACTTGTCGAAGCGAACCAATCCCCAGAGTTCAACAAGCTCATGCAACCCTGCGGGCTCGAAGCATTTTGTACCAATGTCAGCTTTCTGGAATGTTCCAGCTATATGTCGGGTTTCTTGGACCTGCCGAGCCGATCCGAAACTAGAACCCCGAAAAGACAGGCACCCCCAATCGGGTAAGGCAAGGCAACAGATGTTCGTGTGAGCCTGGCTCCAGGCCGCCGCTTCGCGCGAGTCGAAGCAGGCGCAAAGACTTTGCTTCGCGCCGGGCTGGAGAGTTGATTTTCGAGAGAGCGGCTCTGCAGGTGAACACAGAAGGCGACTGACTTAAGACCTTGGTTGGAGTCTTCTTGTCCTTGTACCGCGAAGGGCGGGGGGTGGTCATGCATTGGGCTCAACTAGTGCTCCTGCTCCTGCTACTGCTCCTGCTCCCGCCCCCGCTCCCGCTCCCGGAGTTTAGGGATTGGGTTTAGGATGGCTTGGACATGTTCGGACAAGTCATGATTGGCTTGGCATGGTACATGTGAGGGGGCCCTGGCTAAAAGAAGACAGTTGCCTTTTAGGTTTGGAGTGTGGGATGGGGGTTGGGGGGCTGGCATCAACTATGCGTCACATGTGCGTGGGACAAGAGCCTGTGCGGAAGAGGGACGACGCAGGACCAGCCGCCTGAAAGCTTCTCGGGTTCCGGGAGGTCTTACCGGAGATTTGCGCATTGGGGATCTTCTAAGTTCTGGGGTACCCGTGGAACCGGAAACGGATGTTGGCGGAGCCTTCCATGCAGCCGACACGACGAGCACGAGTGGATTCTTCTTGGACGGGGGATACCAGCATATGGCTCGTCATAACGACTCAATATTTAGGGTCTCTGTCAGGGTCAAGCATGTTATTAAACTCCCAGCAGAAGTTAATTCGCACATACTGTGCGGGTTCAACATCTCCGAAGCTAGGATGCGAAAAAACACGCATTGCAGACGTGACAAATACCGGCGTTTCATATCCGGCGACTCCCCAAACCGTGACTCACTGAAATTGCGGTGTAGGGCGATTTGTCTGAATTCTTGCGAACCATTGCAAACATTGTCCGAACATGACCAAACCATCCTACACCCCTAAACCCCGCGGTCCTAAAACGTTACGGATCGTAGCGGCGCTGAGGCAGCAACTCCAAAAGCTTACAGCTTCGACCCCGACGCTACTATAAGCCCCTTGAAACTCAATCAAAACTGAACATGCTTGATTGCGAAAGCCTCCCAAACTCAAACCCGTATGTAGGGGTAAGCATATATATATATATGTATATATACACATGTGTGGATATATACACATGCATACAAACAAACACACATGTTTAATACGCAGGTATATACATACTTAAACGTATGCGTGTGTATACGTATATATATATATATATGTATACACACACACACACGCACACATACATATACACATGTAATTATGTAAGTATGCATGTATGCATCATGTATGTATGTGGATCCCCCAAGATCCGTTTCCCGTTCTACAGGTTGCCGAAAAGGCGACGCAAACCGAGGTGGAGCGGGGTCACGTTCCCAAAAAGGGTTGGGGTTTGGGGTTGAGCGTAATTCGGCGTTTAGCGATTGGGTTCGCTTGGGGCTTGGATAATGTGGGTTTCGCAGCGAGGCTCATGGAGCTTCTGGCAGGGCTTCCGTTTACAATATGGGCTGCTTCCACGGCTAAGTCTTTGGTTTCTTCTGCTCAGCTTTAATGCAGGCGTTTTAGAAGTCCGAAGTTTTGGGATAGCGGTCTTGAGAGAGTGCTTACCTGCGTCGGATGATTGCATCGTCTTGAGCAGGAATACACTTTAGCTCTTAGCCTTGCCATGCCTACCGACTTCACTTACTCAATCTGAGATCCGGGTTGTGGTTTCGAGTGTTTAGGGTTTGGCGGTTGCGGTAGTGTTGGCGAAGGTCGTACTTCTTGGACCCAACTCCATACATAGGTTAAGTACATGCTGGACTCGGAGCAGCAGGAGCAGTAGAGGTCGTAGGAGTAGTAGGAACAGCACGATGAGTAGTAGGAGGGACTTGAAACCTCAAGTAGCAAAGCCGCATGCACAATGCGAGACTCGCCGCATGGCATCAAGCGCACTGCTTTAGGAGACGAAATTGTAGGCAAATTAGCATCGTCACCCTCGTTGTTCTTGCCTCATGAGAGGCTTTCCTTGCCGGTTGTCGCTGCGATTGTTGCTCTAAGTATCGCATCTTGTCTTAACAATGCTGCTAGCATTATGTACTACTCCTAACGACCTTCGACAAGTGGTCAACTAATTCGCTGTTACTATAGCTTTTTACAGGAGCTTCCATCGTCCTCCAAGGTGCGCACACGCTCAAGAAGGGGCAAAGGTTCCTCCGCAACAAGCGACAGAAAGCAGGAAGTCAGCTCACGCACAGAACAACGGTTGTCAAAATTATGCAAGCAACTGTGAAACCGCTAGTTTGAACCGGTGCGTCTCACCGTGCCTGTAGATGACACCCTCAAACACAAGCTGACTCCCGCTGAAAGCTGACCACTCTATCCATCACCTTAGCCTTCTTCAGTGATCTATCCGATAATGGGGGTGTGATTGCACCTTCTGCGCTTCGAATCTTCCGAACTTCCAATGCTAGAGCTAGGGGGAATCGTGGGTTGCCCCCCGGCTACGAAAGCGGGGCACCCTTGGCTCGTACTGAACACGGCCCTTGCAGTTTTACAGCCAGGACAGCTGACAGTCCATCGAGTCCATCCTGAAACAGCTGTCAGCTGAGAAGGAAGCAAGGCAGGATCAGAGGGGCAATCGCTTGGTCAAAGTCTCAAGCGCATCTTCGAAAGGGTTGCACATCTCCCATACCTTCTCGCACGAGTTGGGTGTTGTTACGGGTTTAGTTTGGGGCGAGAAAAGGTTTTATGAAGGTTCTGCAGGCCTCTCAAGGTTTTTACCAGCGTTCTGTGAACGGATTCGGCAAGGGTTGTAGGTGCAGCATGGTGGAGGGGTTGCTACAAGGGATTTTGTACATAAGGGTTTGTTTGGCTTCAGCTTGAGCACTCATCGGCCTCGACTTGCAAGCTTGTGCCTCATCATGCAACGCGGAGTCAAACCAGAGAGTTTAGCGGAGGGCTTATGGTTTGGAGTGATGGAGTTCAAGAATAGAATTCTGTCCATGTGAGGGAGGGTCTCATCAATTGTTTTTATCACGAGGTATTGGCTTCGAAACTAAAGGGGGGGGCATAGAAAGTCAAGGCATACAGGGTTCTTGGTTTCATGCTTTCACGCTCGTGGGTAAAGAAGTTTGCTTGGCTTGGCCTAGGGGAGTTCAAGCCTACTCACGGACTGCAAGTATGCTCCACGATCCCCGGGGTCCTGTTGAAGACACCAGCTCCTGCGTCGAAAGGGTTTCGGGTGGAGGATTTCACACGGCATGTAATGTCTTGCAACCGGTTGCTATGCACCCTTACCCCGACACCCCCAAGGCCTAAACCCGAGAACAGTAAGATATCCTTACCCCTTTCTGAGTTTTTACACATTGAAAGAATTCAACAGTTCAAACCTGATCACATCTCCTTATTGTCTCACGCTGCTTTCGCTGCGATCCGGAAGCGCCCCAAAGCTGCGCTGACCTCAAGTGTACTTGGGTTTAGCCGCTTAGCCATGGGGTTCTGTGCCATCCTTGACTCAACCTACAGGCTCCAAATCTTTCGTCTGTAAGCCGAACAGCTCAACTGACTCAACTGCAATCTGTAATTTAGATCTGAAAGCACAGACTGAGTCGACACAGATGCTTAAGGGGTCAGGGACCCTAAACCCTTAAACCCGTAATGCTAAGATCTGCAGGACCAGAGACGGAAGATGCGACAGTTGACGAGGCCTGTGTAACTTGGAGTCACCATGTGCCCTCCTCCTCCTCCTCCTCCTCCTCCTTCACCACCACCTCTTCCTTCTGCACCTCCTACGACGAAGCTGGGACGGAATTGGCATCCTTGCCGAGATGCTCCTATGCTGCTGCTGTTGCTGAAAGCCATGTGAAAGAAGCCACGAATCGGGCTCGTTGGGGAAATCCTTGCTGCTTTGCAGCTGTCCACCAGGGCAACCATCTAGAACCTCACGGGAAAATTAGGCAGATGGGGGGACAGTACCGCAACCTGCCATGACCTGCCTCATGCTTCCGGAAGCAGGAGCTTGAACTGAAAGCCTCTGCGAGATAACCCCTCCTGGATCCCTAATTCAGCATCCTCAAAACTTAAAACTAGATGGCCTGTGGCTGGAAGGAGGGCAGCATTTCGCCACAAAGGAGCTTTGCCGGGATACGTGACAAGGTTCACTTCGAGGAATTAGGAGATTGGAGTTTCTGGTTCCCGGCTTGTGTGTTGCCTGTTACCAGCATTGCCGGCGCTGGTGACTTAAGCTTTGGGGTTTGCCGTTTCGGCTTTACCATAGCCAGCAAGAACTATTGCTGCCAGTGCGGTCCTTACAGCCTCACTCAGAATGCACCTGCTGCCCCATGAACCCGTACCTGCAAGATTTCAGGGCTCGCAGCCCGAAGACTCGCGGCCCAGAGACAGCCTTCATGTCGAAACATAAAAACCCAATCTTAAACAGCCATAAACCCCAAAGCCTAAGTCAGGATCAGCCTGTACCTGCACTTCAGCCACCCGCGGTACCCGCGGGCTGCGAGCTCAGGAATGGATTTTCCGTTTAGGGGGGCTTTCGGGTTAGGGAAGTTGGATCCTAAACTTGTCTCAAAGTGCAGGGGAGTTTCGGCTTCGGCCTTTTGAGCTCCTGGTAGGCAGTGGAAGGTGGCTTGGATCCTTGAAGGGTGTTCTGGAACCGTTTCGGCTTCACCAAAAGAAGCCGCAAGAGCATTTCACAGGCAGTTCTGGTGGCTCCATCGGTTACAGTGCCAAAGGACCACTGCAGACAAAACGTGGCATGCCGATGCCTCGCGAGGTCGGCAGTAATTTATGATAGCGGAGTCCTAAGCCCCGAACTCGAAACGGTTACAGTTAAGCCCTAAAGCCTGAATGCCGGGGCAGGAGGAAAAGAGGGCACAAAAAAAAAAAGAATGCCTTAAGGTTTAGACGGTAAATCCTAATTTTACTCGTAGGCTAAAGCCCGCACCCCACACCCTAAATCCCAAAACCGTGACATTGCTCCTTACAGTAACCCTGATAGAAACCCGTCTGCAAACCTGGAGAAGTGTCTCTTCGCGAGGTGTCTCCCACCCACGGGGACCTTCCTGGAAGGCGTGAAGGGGGTTCAGGGGTCCCGTGGGCCAGGGTTTACGATTCCGTGTATCATCAAGACCAGGAGGAGGTAGAGGTAGAGGTGGTGCTGCCAGCCGTCATCGTTGCAGAAGCAGCAGCGAAGCAGTTTCGGGTTCCAAGCTCTACGCCCTAGTCCCTGGACCTCAATTCCTCAAGCCCGAACTTCAATTTCAGAATAGTCCCTGTTCAGGGGGGAGTGGGGCTGTCGTCCCTTGCAAGGAGACCCGATGGGGGATTTAGGTTCAGAAGTTATGGGTTATGGGTGAAGTTCTTTTTGGATCGCCTAAATAGACCTTAAAGTCCTAAAGTGGAATCCTTAACCCAACGCCCCAAAACCCACAAGCCGGAATCCTGAAGCCGGATTGTCTTGTGCGAATGGTCTGAATAGTGTATCCCTTCACAGGTTCCATACATAAGCACAAATGTTAGCGTCCCCGCCAAACGCCCGGTCTATCTGTTAAAGCGCCCATGAACATGAATCAATCGAGAAGCCCCCGCCCTTCCTTGAACCTTCTGTTCAAAACAATCGGCACAACACCTCTTTAGATCTGGGGGTTTAGTTCTCGTTCGGGCTGACATTCTGTTGGCTGTCGAGGGTTTAGGATTTGGTTTTTGTGTTCGGATGTCCCACCCCTGCAGAAGCAAACCCCACAAAAGCCCTAACACGCGAGAAAGGAGTGGTGGGGGCACCTGCGCCTCAGGCCCTCTTGGCAATTTTTGATTTGGTGGTTTGTGCATCAGCTTCAGTGCTTGGGTTCGAATGCACAGACCTCGAACCCTAGACAAGCTCTTGCACCAAATTACAGAGCCTTCCAACATCGGATTAAAGCCACCAGCAAATCGAAACCCGAAATTACTTGCAGTTCCTGTCAGGCCCTAACTAAACTGAAACAAACGCGGTCGCTTGCAGAATTTGAGCTTTAGAGTGTAGGGCACGAGCCTAGGAGCCTAGGGACCTTCAGTTCGGTAGGACGTCCTTGATATGCTATGGGTCCACATGGGTCAACAAGCCTCCAACAGCAGTCGCAGACTACGTTTTGGAGCTTGAGGCCTGGCTTCACATGGTATGCCTTCGGCATATTCAGGAGATGATGTAACTAGTTCCAAAACTGGCCCGATAGTGGAAAGAGTATCAATCCTTTTGGTATCAGCAGCAGCCGCAGTTGTTGTAGTATCGGAGCACGGGAGTACAGGAGTAGGGGAAGAACAAAGAGGCGCTATCACAGGCATGCAGGCGAAGGCGTAGGTGTCCTAGCATACAGGCGCATCGTGGCGTGGGAGTGCGAGTAGGGTACGTGGAGGTGGTGCAGGTGCTGGAGGTAGTGGCAGTGGTAGTGCAAGAAGTAGTAACCGTAGTAGCAGCAGCAGTCGTCGTCGTAGTAGGAGTATTGATAGTAGTAGCAGCAGCAGTAGCTAGTAGTAGTTTATGAGTAGTAGTCAGTAGTAATAGTAGTAGAAGTAGTAGTAGTAGTAGTAGTAGTAGTAGTAGTAGTAGTAGTAGTAGTAGAAGTAGTAGAAGTAGTAGAAGCAGTAGAAGTAGTAGTAGTAGTAGTAGTAGTAGTAGTAGCAGTAGTAGTCGCAGCAGTAGTAGTAGTAGTAGTAGAAGTAGTAGTAGTAGTAGTAGTAGTAGTAGTAGTAGTAGTAGTAGTAGTAGTAGTAGTAGTAGTAGTAGTAGTACCAGTAGCAGTAGCAGTAGCAGTAGCAGTAGTAGTAGTAGTAGTAGTAGTAGTAGTCGTAGTAGTAGTAGTAGTAGTAGTAGTAGTAGTAGTAGTAGTAGTAGTAGTAGTAGTAGTAGTAGTAGTAGTAGTAGTAGTAGTAGTAGTAGTAGTAGTAGTAGTAGTAGTAGTAGTAGTAGTAGTAGTAGTAGTAGTAGTAGTAGTAGTGTAGACACCACGTGAGTGAACGCCGCATTGTCTGACAACACCCTGTGAAACATAGAAGTGTTTGTCGTGTCCTATTACCTATACAAAATTTGCTGTATCACGCGCAGACGCGTGTTCGGAAATCGACATATTTATGCGGGACATTAACAGATCCACTACATGCCCAACACATGCATACGTGCATATCTGCATTTGGAATCCAGTCATCCTGAATGCTTGGCTAAACGATCTGACACTTCAATAGATCCCTAAAAGCCCAAGTACCGAATAATCATATACTCTCCAAAATAGTAACCTACATAACTACTCTCCCAAACCCGAGTACCTAATTATTGGATCCTTTGGACCCTTAGGGGATGTGTCCATGGGTTGAAGGCTTGGTAGGGGCTCACGACGTTATCAGCGGTGTGGGTTCATGGAAACCTGATATACTTTGTCGGCATCACGAGCATCGTGCTGTCGGGCCCAGCCCATCAGTTTTGCCTCGGCCCTCCAGGTGACGAAGTTGCGCTTGAAGGCGGCGAGCCCCGAGGTGCGCTCAGACAACTTGGCGGTCAAAATTGAGAATTGAGAATGGTTGCTAGCGGCTCATCCTCGCAGCAGTGCAACGTTCGAAAGCATCCCATCCTCCCAGGAGCCGTTGAACAGCAGGCCGCAAGTGAAGCACTCCCACTGCCACTCTGCCCCTACTCCTACTCCTCCTTCTCCTACTTCTCCTACTACTAGTACTACTACTATTACTACTACTACTACTACTACTACCACCACTACTACTACCACTACTACTTCTACTTCTAGGCCGCATTGTGGACTTTTGGCTCCGCTTTTGGCTGGCTTTCGGATTTTTTGCATCGAAGATGAGCTTGGTTCATCGAGTTTTGCCGTTTTTTTCAGCTAATCGAAGATGGCGTCCTCTGAAACCTTGTTGGTTTCTCGCTTCTTCTTCTTTCTTCTTCGGCTTTCGTCCTTCTTGGACCTGTGCTTCTTCTTCTTCTGGTGTTTTGTCTTGGCCGGAGCGAAAGCTGAGTGCCACGACGATGCGTCGTCGGAGCCAGTCCTGGGAACCTGCCACAGGGAAAAGTGAGCTTGCTTACCGCAACAACCGTGTGCATGCGGAGGTGAGACTGACATGCACGAACGCTTGATACACTGCTGCCGGCACTGCTTATCGTCCCTGTGCCGAAATGAGCACACCATGTGGGGCCACAGGTGGGCCGCGTGAGCTCCCCCAGCGGTCGGGTTGCGAACTACCCCACGTTTCTGTACGGTGTGATGTTCTTCTGGCAGGTTGGCCAAGCATAAGCGCTAACGCTGGGAAGTGCTGTCTACAGTACCCACGAAAACGATGTCATTGTGCCCTTTGGGCCTGCACAGGACTCGCTCGCATCGCTTGTCTACACGGCGGGAATCCCAGTCTCAGGGCATCATGGGATGGGCGGCTGTGCATCTAGAGCTACTGTTTAGAGTTTAGAGTGTTCACGGTCTCTGTCTGGAGCTTGTAGGATGTGGGGTTCAGCCGGTTCAGCTCGCGTCGTGAGAGGTCAATGTGTTGGCCTGGGCATGTTGAAACAAGAAGCCTGACCGGTCAGGGTTCAGTTCCTGATGCTTGGCTTGCTCTGGTAACTCTTGCTGTCTTGGACAGTCTCATGACGTCTGCTATGCAATGCCTACTACTCGTACTGGGCATGATTGTTGTGGAGCAAGACCATCCCGAGACAGATGAGGATGGAGATCAGGAGGCTGTGGGTTTTGGGAATAAATAGAAACCAAGGTTTTCTTTACGGAGATGGCGCTACAGAAGCCTGATACCCTAAACCCCAGACCAGAGCCTTAAGTCATCTAGGGTCCAATCGAAAGCCCGTGTGGTGAGGTCAGGGAGGTTGCAAGTGAATCGACAATCGCCTGTCTCTCAGCCTCCTTCGCTTTGGTTTCGGCGGGCCCAAGGAGTGTTGCAGGGTTTCAATACCTGTTTGGGTTTCGCTTTGAAGCCAAAGAGCTCGTGAAACTCCTCACAGGCTTAGCTCTAGGAAGTCCTATGCGTGCTAACCTTCGAAGGTATCATCCTGACAGGCACGCTCAACATCGGCAGTATGCAAGTTTCCATTATTCCGGGTTTCGAGGTGCTTGCACCTAGCAAAACATCTTTCGTGAGTGTGCGCGTAAACACCTCTTTCTTCGACGGCCAGTGCCAAGTGCGTCTTGTGCTGTATCTACTTCATCACGACATGACTCCACCTGTGTATTTGCAGCATCATCTTCCTTGGTGTGTCAGGGCGTCGACGACATGCCAGAGCCAGGCCGGTCCACCGACGTTTCTGCGGCGTTCCTTGTGGTTTAGGCACGTCTTTGAGCCACTGCAGGTGCATGTGTCGAAATCACAGTCGTCGTCCCGAAGGTGCCGGGACGGCGGGGGGTGCATCGGATAATGCCGGTTGTTTAAACCGTAGCAACATGCGGCCTGGGGGCAGGCGGTGCTAGTTTGATAGTCGAGAGTCTGAATTAGCAGACGGACCCTCAAAATGATGTTTGCAGTGTAGGAGTAGTAGGAGCAGTACGACGATTAGTAGGAGGGACTTGAAACCTCAAGTAGCGCAGCCGCATGCACACTGCGAGACTCGCCGCAAGGCATTAAGCGCACTGCTCTAGGAGACGAAGCTGTAGGCAAATCAGCATCGTCAGGCTCGTTGTTCTTGCCGTCATGAGATGGTTTCGTTGCAGGTTGTCGCTGCCATTGTTGCTCTAAGTATCAACTCTTGTCTTAACATTACCGATATTACCATCATCAAAAATAACAGCACTGCTCAATGTTGCTAGCATTACTACTCCTTGAAAAGTTGTTTATGTTCGTGGTGACGGTAATTGCAATGATGATGGCAACAGCAAGACGCCTCAGGCTGACGACAACAGCAAGACGCCTCAGGCTGACGACTCAGCTGTGCCTGTTCGGAGGATCACAGAGGCTCGGGGTGTAGCTTTCTAGTTTGATAGTCGACACAAAGTCTGAAATATCAGACGGAGTCAGAACTTGATGCTAAAGAGCTCGTGAAACTCCTCACAGACTTGGCTCTAGGAAGCCATATGCGTGCTTTCCTTCGAAGGTATCACCCTGAGAGGCAGGCTGAACATCGGCAGTATATAAGTTTCCACTATTCAGGGCTGATAAGGCCCGGGTTTCGATGTGCTTGCACCTGATAAAACATCTTTCGTCCGTGAGCCCGTGACAACCTCTTACTACCACGACATGACTCCCAGTCTGTGCTATGCAATGTCGTGGCTTTAGCAAAATGCATTGGCTATGACAGTTTATGAGATATGGTCTTCAAACTCTACACCCTGAACCTGAAAATATGATCTTGTAAGCGCAGGACAGGTCTTTTGGGCCACGTTTCGGGGCTCGGTCATCCAGACCCGTGGGGACAGCCATCTGGCCACTTCCCTCAGCCATTTTGGAATAGATAAGAAACCAAGGTCCGCTTTACGGAGATGGTGCTGCAGAAACCCTAGACCTAAACCCCAAACCACAGCCTCAAGTCATCCAGAGTCCAATCGGAAGCGCGTCTGGTGAGGTCACTGAGAGCAGTCACACGACAATCGCCTGGCTCTCAGGATTCGGTTCAGCTCGGGTCGTCAGAGGTCAATGTGTTGGCCCGGGCATGTTGAAACAACAAGCTTGACGGTTCAGGTTGCAGTTCCCGTTGCCTGGCTTGCTCTGGGAACTCTTGCTGTCTTGGAAATTCTCATGACGCCTGCTATGCAATGCCTACCGCTCGTATTGGGCATGATTGTTGTCGAATAAGACCATCCCCGAGAAAGATGAAGATGGAGAAAAGGAGGCTGTGGTCTAGTAGTGTAGGTGCTAGCAGGTCTTTTGGGCCACATCTTTCACGGCTCGGTCATCATCTGGTCACGTCCCTCAGCCATTTGGGAATAAATAAGAAACCAAGGTTCGCTGTACGGAGATGGTGCTGCAGAAACCTTAAGCCCTGGTGCTGAGGATGACGAAGTTGGAGACGTTCGAACAACTGACTTAACTGAGAAGAAGACTCCACATCGGCATCGTCTGAGTGTTTGCTTATAGTGTTTTACTGGTAGTGCAGTGCCTTCCGAGGCGACTGACAAACCACAGACCCACACCCCCACACCCCCATGCCCCAAAACACGCACCCACACGACCACAAATCCGCAGCCCCACACCCCCACACACTCACACACCGTTGACATCTAACGCTGTTCCCTGCACTCAGTTTGACGTAGGATTCAGGTTTGAGGCCTAGGTTTGATTGTGACTTCTCGTTTGCGGGAATCCCAGTCTCCGGGCACCGGGCATCATGGGCTTGGCTTCGGGTCAGATTGCGCTCAGCTTGGAGCTTATCGGGTTTGGGCCAGGGGTTCAACCGAGTGGTCTGTGCATCAGTTTCGGTGCTTGGGTTCAAATCCACAGACCTCAAACCCTAGATAAGCTGTCGCACCAAATTACAAAGTCCTGCCAACATCCGATTAAAGCCACCAGCGAACCGAAGCCCCAAATTGCTTGCAGTTCCGGTCAGGCCCTAAACCTTAATCCGGCGCACCCGGAGGTCATCCTAAACTGAAACAAAGGTGGTGGTCGCTTGCAGCCGTTAACGTTGAGACTGTACTGAGTAGGAGGTGAGCCTGGGAGCCTATAGGGGCCTAAATAATTACCAATATTATTGTGGGGATTCCTTATAATAGTCATAGTATAATTATAATGGGCCCCAAAATCCTATTATTCTGATTATTAAGGCCCCAAAACTAGGGACCTGCAGTTTTGTAGGACGTCCTTGATACGCTGTGGGTGTCGCTTACGGCAGCACTGTAGCCCTTCGGCTTGAGATTTGGCCTCTGTGAGTGAGGGCTTGCGCGCTTCTCCAAGCAAGGAACCTGAACAGCCAGGTCGTGCCTTCTCCGGGAATGGGAACCTGCACCACGAGTGCGCAGCTTGTGGGAAAACCTTGCAGCGCGACAAGTTTTCCTTGACTTGACTATGGGATTTTGGGATTGCAAGCTGGGTGCTTTCCTCAGTCCATTTATGAACTCATTTCTTCACTTGTACATGTCCTCATGCGTGATTTCTTTGAGGGCTGCGCAGGGTTGCGCAGGGGACTTTGGTAGGGCGTGCTAGTAAGGTGTGATACCTCGTTCTTTTGGTAGTTACCGTAGGCGGCAAGCTTGGGAGAGTCTTGTCGGTGTGCTTGTCGCCGTATTGATGATATCATTGATATCACTGTTGATACCGATGTGTGCGTGTTGCTGTTGATTGCGATGGCGGGCTGGCAACATGAACTTATCGGTGCCGCCGAAGAGGTTCATGTGTTTCTAGTCAGGTCTGATGAGTGTCGGTGTCCCTCTAAGCCGACCCTAAGGCCTTTAGACCCTGAGCCCGGGTTGTATCTAAAATCTTCAGAATGCCAGACTGGCCAAGAGCCATGCAAAGCAAACCTGACCAGCTTGAAAGGAGACGCGTGCAAGCCTAAGCCTTCAATTCCAATGAGAGTGTACGACGGAAAGCGCTTGTCATCTTGGTGAAAAAAACTACGTTCGCCTGCTGGG